CGTCAAGAAGAGGCAGACCTGCAGGCGGCAGCCGAACACCGGTCACGCCAGCGGGAACGACTGTTCACGCGGGAGACCGTGATCGGCGATGAGGCAGCACATTGGGTGGAAGTGACATCTGCAGACGGGGCCCCGGAGACTGAGAAAGGGTTGTCAGCCCTTGCGCAGGTCTCCCACGACCTCGTGGCCATCTGCGCTCTGCAGCAGGAGGAAATCCTTCACCTGCAGCAGACMGTGGACCAGATGCTCGCACGGCTGCAGGCATTGGAGAAACAGCCAGCTGCTGTAGCAGCCGCAGGGCCTTCCACCCTTACCACCCGTGTGCAAGTTTTGGAGGATGACGTCAGCAACATCAAACGTGTGCATCAGGACTTCGGGACGTCGCAGCAAGCAACTAACTTGCAGTTGGAGACACAGGTACAGGCTGCTGCCACAGTGACGCCCGCCGCCGCATCCTCCCGGCGCCCACCCAAACTGGATGACATTCCAGTTTTCTGCGATCAGTCCAAGACGGAACCGATCCCGTGGTGGAGCCAGTTTACTCTCAGGCTCGACATGCACCATGTCCCGAACAACGATCGACATCCGTGCTTGTACCACCGATCTGGTGGTGCATGTCAAGCATGGCTGGACAACATCTTGACCAGCCACGGCGTAGCAGTGTCGGAACTGCACACCAAGCTCACTTGGCAAGAGTTGACTGACGCCTGGCGCAAGCGATTCCAAGTGGAGCCGCCCAACCTGCAAGCGATGGACAAGCTCAACAAGCTCCATCAGAGCACGCTGCTCAGTCAGGACTCGATTACCGAGTTACAAAGACTCGCCTCCACACCTGACCTGCCGCTTGCTTTTCGCGCCATTAAGCACTTGTTTATCATGCGCTCGTGTCCAGCTCTGCAAAACGCGCTGACGCAGATTGCAGAGACACTCGACACATCTGACAAGCTTTTCAGCACCGCGTCACGGATCATTCTCACGAATATCGAAGCCCGCAACGCCGGCCGATCTTCCGCGACGACGAGCGGCACCCAGCCCAAGCCAAAGGTGGCTTGCATTACTTCTACCGAGGCTGCAACACCAAACGAGGGTGAAGTGTTGGCAGCTGCCTGGGAGGGTGGCCGACCGCGCAACAATCACGGCCGCGACAAAACGAAGACTGAGTCCACCTCTACACCGAGCACCGGATCAGCCGCCGATGAACCTTGGGCACAATACGGACTCTCGGCGAATTCTTATTGCACGAGACTCAAGTACCGTTACTGCCTTTGGTGCAACAGCACCATCCACGATGCTGCACATTGCCCCACCAAGGGGAAACCCCGTCAGGGAAAGTAGGCGCCGCCGAGGGTGACTCGACACCTCCCTCGACGCCATCGGAAGCGGTTGTGCGCACGACCGCCCTTTCTTCGGAGGCATATGCGGATGTCGGGAGTCTTCCACTTTCGTTCGAAGACTTCGCTGCCCGGCTCGTTCCTTCATTGGATGCTTCTCAAGGACAAGATACATGTGCGGCTTTCTCACCGTTCGAAGGTTCTTCCACCAGTTCGTCTTCATCAAGGGATTCGRCAAGCGTGTTCAACGAGGAGGCTTTGGACCCGCTTACGCCCGAGGACTTCGCTTGGATTCCTCTCCCTACGACGGGCAACCTTCCGGGGYCGCAAAGCGCAGCCCTATGCGCCCTCTTACACGAGTATCTTTCCTTCCATGCACTACCAACTTCGCCGACGGTAGACGAAGTCGCGGTGGGGGACATGCTTGGCTACGTTGCCAAGGTGGCCCGCGAGTTTGTCTCGCAACGGTACGAAGAAAACAACGCACCGTTGCTCTACGTTCGCATTCAGATTGGGCAAGCGGCCTGCAACGCTTTGCTAGATTGCGGCGCAACTCGCAACTTCATCAGCCAGT